TTCCAGCAAGGCCTCCCTCAAACCCTCTTCTGGATTGTGGAGACTCTGCCCCACGGAGGCTCGAGTCACCCCACAGAGAGAAGAGGGGATTCTACCCCCGGAAGCTCAAAAGCAGCAGGAAACCCCACCTAATCACCCCAATTTTCCATTCACAGGAAAAAAAATATTCTCACCTCACAAGGGCCAAAATGGGTTGCTAATAGTGCAGATTTTAGGGGAGATTTTATAAAATGGGGAGGGAAAGGGGGGAAGGAGGAATTTGGGTGAGACCAGAGGCCATGGGACCCTTGGGGGCAAAGCCAAACTGCTTGCCAGGGAGATGTGGGCAGTCAAAGGGGGGAGCGAAGGGGCAGGAATGAAGCCACACAGCCCCCATGGATCTTCCTGCTGGGCCCTGGCTGGGAGATTCCCCCTCTGGTCCCAGAGTTAAGGCATCTGAGCAGGAATTGGCTTTGAACCCAGGACCAAATGGCGCTCACCGTCATTCCACAGAAAATACTCCGGATTATCCCAATTTTCTTAAGTTCAGCAACACAATTAGGGCACTGAAACAGTTCTTCCCAGGTGTTTGCAACACACCAGATTTACTCTAGATCTAACACACTTTGTTCACTTTCCACGGAACATCTTCAGGAAGTTCTCCTCCTTCTGGGCTGATCCTGCACTTTTCTCCAGCAGCACTTTGGAAATCACTCTCCGCAAGCAGAATCGCAGCATCCACGAATGGAAAAGAGCCACTGAGGTCATCTAGTCCACCCCTGCCCAGTGCAGGGACCCCAATGAAAGCCTCTTTCCTCCCCCCAAGATGGCTCCAGCCTCCGCTTCAGCCTCTCCAGGGAAGGGGAGCCCCCAACTCTCTGGACGATGGGTTCCCCAGTCAAACTGCTCTTACTGAAACAGTCAACCAGAACCTACATCCCTCTCTCTTAAATGCATCACGTTATGAATTATTGGATTGGATTTTTCTAATCCAATTGAAAGGGAACTTTGTTATGGCCAAAGATCAGCACAGAATAATAATACCACCAAAAAAATGAACTATTATGATGAACTCTGGCAACATACAAAACCATCATCATAGAATCAGGTCTACCACAATAAGTAGAAAAAACAGTATATCAGGAGAGTTAAGTCTATAGAGATATATAATCCAAACCTTAGCAGAAATAAATAAGGTATGGACAAACCTAACTATTATAAAATTTTCCTACCTGAAATATACTAAACCAGCTGTGGAGAAAAATTGTGCAAATTGTGTGTTCTAGTGACAGCAGAGCTCCCATCAGACAACAGGAGAGATGCGTAAAAACCCTTGAGAAGTCTGCTAGCCATGGTGAGATAAAAGTGCTTTGCACGTGGCTGTAATATTTACAAGCGAGTTGTTTCCCCTTCCCCTCCCACAGGGACGCAGTCCTTCTGGGGAGGGGCCTTTTCTGTCCCTCCCCTTAAGCCCCCCCAAGGAAGAGCCCCCCACTTGGCCAGGGTGAGAGCTCATCTGTGCCCTGAATAAACCAACAGGGTAAGGCAAGAGACAGATCTCTGGAGGCGCTTATGCGCTGATCCATTGGCATTTTAGAGGCTTGGCCTAGATGGGTTTGGTGCTCCACGTCCATAAGCCACTGCTCGATAAGCAATGTTGCCTGATCATAGCCCTTATCAAGTACCTCTTCTGCAGAAGAACAATGGATCTGGGGTTTGTTTTCAAGACAGCTCGTCCCAAAACAATCTGACTGAATCCAGTGGGCAAGGCCTCTCCCCACAGGAAAAGAAGTTTCAGCTAACAGGTAAAAATTAGGAACCAGAATCTGCCCTCGACCTTCATCAGCCCCGACTCCAGGCACAGGGATCTTGAGAAACGCAGCAAGGCGCCTGAAACATCACCTGGAGGAATCAGGGCTGGACACGCTCCAAAGAGGCAAAGCTGGAAAATGGTCCAAGCTGCGCCCCATAAGTGAGCCAGGCCAAAGATATAGCTGGGAATCATTTCAGAGCCGCTGGAAGGCAACATCCCCCCCTGACCCCCATTCCCTGGAATCACAAGATGGCTGCTGAATTTTTTGTGCAGTCACAGCGATGCAGCTGCGTGTGCCCTTCCTCTACCTGAGGCATGAAATACTCCACCCTCCAGGTATTTAAAGCATGAAAATTGTACAGTGGAAACTTTATTCACCTGCCAGGAATAGGTTTTTAGGCCTTCTGGCAAACACCATCATTTTGGAGTTTGAGTAATTCATCTCTAGTTGAGGGTCTTAACAATATTGGGCCTGGGTTCATGAGTGGGGATCCCAGAGAGGATCACAGCATTGTCAGCCCAAAGAAAGGTAGAAAAGCCCCTCAGCCAGCTTGGGAGGACGGGGATCTGGGCTATGCAACTCTCCAAATGATCAACGACTGTCAATGTCAACGCCTAGATCAATGTTTCTCAAACTCACCCACTTGGACTTCAGTGTGGACTACAACTCCCAGAATTCCCCCTCACTCCCAGAAGCCCATGGGGTCTCCCCACCCTGGGCCCACCCCGTGCCCAGCTGAGGCTGCTTGGGAGCTCCTGCTGCCACCACCCATCTTTGGGGTGGGGGGGAATATGGTGGCTCACCTGGTGTCCTCTATAGCCCTTCTGGTGAATCAAAGATAAACGTGCAAAATTATGTCAATTTCTATCATGCAAACTCCTGACTTGGGGCATAAAAGAGTTTCCAGCCCTTCCTTGGGAGACAGACCAAATTCACAAGACATAAACAATGCCAAATTTTACTAACTACAAAGAAAGAACACATAAAGTCAGTTTTTAGTTTTAAAGGTGAAAAGACAAGCATGGAAGAGACAGACTCCAGGGCTGCCCAATTAACAGGAAAACAGCAGCTTCTAATGTGGCTGGTGTGGGCCAGCATCTGTGACCAGCATCTTCAGAGGGCAGGAGCACAGACAGGAGCAGTTCTCTCTGTGCCCAGGGTGAT